CAACAAAATAAATAATTATTATCTTTATAAAAAAATTATATTATTAAACCAAATATAAATTATTTCGTTATTGTACATAAATTAAATTATAAAAAAATTGAATTAAAAATTTACACAAAAAAATGAGGAATTTCAAATAGTTAATTTGATACTAATATCGATATATTTTGTCAAATTTTTAAGATATCTTCAAACATATATTTTATTCAAAAATAAAAACATTATCATTTTCTCAAAATCACATAAAGCCATATTATAATATCGACTGAGATAAATAAGAAAATGAAATATTAAAATCATGATGTATCTCGCTGCATTGCGCGAGTACGCTTCTAGTATATATATATGTGTGTGTGTGTTTTTTTTTAAATAAAAATGATAAAATAGTTGAGAATGTGAGAAAAACCGAATAAACATAATAACTTTGCCATGTCTTCTAAAACTTGTGGCTCGTCATGTCTCTGAGCCTGGCAAAGCTCAAGCCTTGAATAAGCTGATACCGAGCCATTACAACTTGGCGCGGCTCAGAGAGCCTATGAGCGAACAAAAAAAAAAAGCATAAATAAATAACAAAAATAAAGATTTAGATCGCTCTCGTTTGAGATCTTCGTCTTCTTGGCTCCATGAGCTTCAGAAGAACCCCAGCTTCTTTTCCTTCACCCTCCATCTCAAAGAATGCAAATTCTTCAGGTAAACTTTCATCTCTACTTCAACAATCAATTCAAAAACTTCCATCTTCAAATTCAATCCCTAAACAATCCCATCTTGAATCTTTCCTCACTTTCAATTCTAAACCATCCAACATAAATCTCAATGATGCATCATACTACTTCGATTGCATGATTCTCCTACAGCCATTGCCCCCTATTTCTTCATTCAATCGATTGCTTAATTCTGTTTCCAAAATTAAACATCAACATAAAGTTGCAATCTTCTTTTATCGTAGGATGAACAAAGCCCGGATTGAACCTAATTTAATCACCCTGAACATTCTACTTAATTGTTATTGTGATATGAATCAAGTCGAGTTCGCTTTTGGGATTTTGGGTTTGATTTTGAAGAGGGGTTTTACTCCTGATAATGTTACTTACACTACTTTGATTAAAGGGTTGTTTATGAAAGATAAGACTCATGAGGCTGTTAGATTGTTCAAGAAAATGAGTAGATTAGGTGTTAGGCCTCATGTTATGACTTATGGGACTTTGATTAATGGGTTGTGTAGGGCTGGAAAAGTTGAGGCTGCTGTTAGGTTTCATGAAGAGATTATGAATGGGAATATTGGATTAGGGTTTGTTTCTAAACCTAATGTGGTGTGCTATAGTATATTGATTGATAATCTTTGTAAAGATGGATTAGTAAGCAAAGCGAAAGAGCTTTTCTTGGAGATGAAGAGTCGAAAAATCTCACCGGATTCGGTTGCGTACACTTCTTTAATTCATGCTTTGGTTTATTCGGATAAGTTGGAAGAGGCTAAATGTTTGTTTATTGAGATGTTTGATGAAGGGATTAGTCCTAGTGTAATTACGTTTAATCTTTTAGTAAACGTGCTTTGCAACAAAGGGCGGTCTAATGATGCATGTGAGTTGTTTGATAAAATGCTTCAAAGAGGCAAACAACTTGATTCTTTGTCGTATAACACATTGGTTCACGGATATTGTTTGGAGGGTAAGATCGATGATGCAAGGGAGCTTTATGTTTCAATGGTGGATAAAGGTATCGAACCTGATGTTAGAACTCACAATATACTTATTAATGAGTATATCAAGATTAGGAGAATAGAGGAAGCTATATGGATCTTTAGGCAAATGATTTTTAGAAAAATTAAGCCTACAGTCGTTACCTACAACGCTTTATTAACGGGTGTTCTTCAAAAAGGCGATGTTTTGGCTGCACAGAAACTGTTTGACGAAATGCAGCTTCATGATCTCACTCCAAGTTTGTGTACATATAACATCTTATTAAACGGGCTTTGTAAGAACGATTGTGTTTTACAGGCTCTAGACTTCCTTCAAACTCTAGAAAACAATAGGGTTGATTTGTGCATCAAAGCCTACAACTCTGTGATTGACGGATTGTGTAAAGCTGGTCGGATGGAAACCGCTTGGGATGTATACACGAAATTGTCTTCCAAATGCTTGGTACCAACTGTGGTAACGTACACTATCATGATTCATGGTTTTTGCAAAAAGGGTCGGTTAAAAAAGGCGGATGATTTGTTTTCAGAAATGGTAGAAAAGGGTTGTTCTCCAAATGCGGTCACTTTCAATGCATTTATGCGAAATCTCTCACATCAAGATATGGCACCAAAAGTTGTTGAGCTACTTAAGAAAATGGTGGAAAATAAAGTGACCCCAGATGCATCCATGGTCTCTTTGGTCGTGGATTTATTATCAAAAGATGAGAAATACATAAAGTATTTGGATATGCTTTCGATGTTTCCTGAAGCGGGCTAACCACAGGCATTGCTAGAATTATATAATATCTAATGAATTTTGTATTAGTGATTGAAGGAAGACAACTTCTTCTGTAAGAGAACAGGAAACAGCAAAAGGATATGATGGAAAACTACCATCGTCAACTGTTTTATTGTCACATAACCGGTTTCTTACAAAGTTTGATCTGTGAAGTTTACCATCCATTCGGGCTCCATATCCAATAGGTATTACACCCCATCACCGCTCTTAATTGACCACTATCTTTGCACTAATAAATTATTATAATTTCTTCATGATTTTGTTTGCGGGTGCGAGAATATGTGGAACCCCATTAGATTACTCTCCAAAAGAGCCTTTGAGGAGAGAAGAGAGGTTCCAACTTATATAGAGGAGAAATGGTCCAAGGGGAAATTTTGTTGGTTTTCCATCAAGTCCTGTATGGATTAATCTGGCTGTATGGATTGGAAAGGTTTTTGTTTGGGAGGACTTTTTCATAAATGGAAGGAGCGTGATTTTTAATTAGGAGGGGGAGGTTTGGGAAAAACTTGGAAGCTTATTGATAAGCCACTTTCTATATCATTAAGCCACTACTAAACAAGCATGTATAGCTGACCGAATAAGCCGTGAGTCCTATTAAGCTCGTTAAGCTGCTAACAAACAGGCCTTACGTCTAGCTGATGTCCGACTCCAGCATGCCCCCTCCAATGGAAGCTAGATATTGTCTCAGACTGTTGAGATGGGGCTAGACGAGCGAGGGATGATTTCAAATTAACCTCGAGTGTCGATCCCCTAAAGTGGTAAATTTTGGCTCTTATACCATGTGAGAATATGTGGAACCCCATTAGATTACTCTCCAAAAGAGCCCTTGAGGAGAGAAGGGAGGTTTAAGTCTAGCCGATGTGGGACTCAAAAAACGGGATCCTTATTGTGGAAGTTTTCTTTTGCAGTTCACGAACGCAGGGAATGGAGATGGAGCAGCAGAATGCTGTTTGAGAAAATTTCAGCAAGCTGGTGAAAGTCGATATCCGTGAGGCAGGCAAGGTAAGAAATCCTTGATTTTGTGCAAGAAAATTTCTGTTTGTGAGTTTCTTTAATAGGTATGCCACTCAATGTTCTAAAAGGCCTTAATTTCAGCACCCGCTTTCTTGTTTTCAAGTTCTTCTTTTGCGAATGTTCTTTTTCCACTTCTTTTATTCCACATTATGTACAAGCCGGGATCTTCATGGAAACAACCGCTCTACTTTTTGAGGTGGAAGTGAGGTGTGCGTGCATCTCACCCCTAACACCACCTTCACTCAATGTTCTCCATTGTTTTATACTCCCCCAGTCCGAAAATAAGTGTCTACGTTGCTATTTATGTTTGTCCAAAATAAGTGTCTAGTATCAAAAATAGATAACTAAATTCTCAAATCTACCCTTGATTGATGCACAGATATTTAGGAGTGTGAAGAAATATAAATTAAATAAGGGTAAACTTGTCCTTTGGTTAACTGAAAAGTGTAATAATTATGCATGTCTAGAACTGTGAGTCATTATTATTTTGGACACTTATTCTGGGATGGAGGGAGTACAATGTTCTTTCAATACTGTTGGAGTTGGATGCAAGTATTTTTGGAGATTTTGACTTTTGCTCTTTATTTTGGAGAAATTATGAAGAAACTGTTGGAGATGCTCGAAGACCTAAAAGCTTTATGTGTCATATAAAAGGGGAGACCATCATTTATAGCATCAAGTAATCAAGAATCAAAGAGTTGGGAGAAACCGATAAAATACAATATGTTTGTTTTTATCTTTTTAGACGGGAACTTACTTAATTAGTCAAGAAGAAATAAATAGAACTCGTATGGATTTGTGTTAATGTAGTGAGCATAAAGTTGGTCTACGTGCGCTTAAGTTGACATAAATTATACGAATAAGTACAAAATAACAATAACGAATATCAAATAAATCGTTGACACTAAGAACACGCAAAACTTACGAAAAATAAGCCCATGGCGCCCTATGCCTAGACGACCCGCCCGCCTTTCAGAACCTTTCCACCACTACATTCAATTTGCATATAGTAGAGAGGCGAAGAAATAAAATACCTTTTAGAACCGTTATCTAGGGGTCTTCATGGGAACAATCGCTTGATCCTGTGGTTGAGGTAAAGTCAGCATACATCCTATCCCTCCCAGACTGTATTTTTATACTGGGTTCGTTTGCTTTGGTCCATCCATGGTAATGAATAAGAATCAAGACAGGAAAACTTTTTATACTTGTTGCTATAACTAGTTTCTTACAATTTACCATGATGTTGTAGTTTGTTTTGTAGTCCATATCGAGCTCTACTTCCAACAATTTTGCTTTCTACCCCGAGAACGATAGATTACCCACAAAATTTTACACTTGAAGGCCATGATATCTTTTGAACATTATTATCGCAACTATTTTATCTTTCAAAAATGAAAGAGAGAAAGTTCAAGTTTAGTGTCAGTCTGTCAGATGAATTAATTCTCAACTTTGAAGCCAATATCGGCTCTTAAAAGCTTCAAGAATTTGATAACCACATTGAACTTTAATAAAAACCTCCCTTTATGTATCTTAAAACAGAGGAAATGTCTGCATACAATTTCCCCCNTATATATGGGTTTTGTAAGGTCCATTTTTTAGCCACTAAATGTTATTAAAGAAAGTCATTAATTTTGGTAATCTTAAACCAAAAAAAAAAAAAAGACATTAATACAAAACCTTTGTTTTCTCATTTAAAACAGAGGAAATGTCTGGATACATCTTCCGCCTCCCCCCCCAAAACACATTAATACAAACCTCCCTTTCTACGTCTTAAAGCAAAGGAAGTGTCTGCGTACATCTTACCCTCCAAAAGACAATACTTTCAGATGAGATATATTGAGTAATAGAAATGCTACCATCTAGAATTCTTAAAAACTTTGTTTCCTTTCCTAATCTTTGCTAATATTTGCAGGGTTGCACAATGACAACCGATATCCTTATGAAGATTTAGTCCAAACTTTTCCGCTCCAATTCAAGATACGGGTGAGATTATCAAACCATCATGTGGGTATTGTTTCATATGCATGACAATATACTTTGAGGCGATATGGTTTGACTTTTGAGGTCAAACAGATTCGGTTTTTTCAACTTAAGTTACAAAGCTCTCAACTAGGTTTTTGGCCATGGTGGTGTTGTAGTAGCCAACCACCTTTCTTTCCTCTATATTTGTTATTGTATTCTGTAGAAAGCCATGTCCAATGTTTGAAATAGTGAAACTATCTCATACACCTATATCCATATTTGCATTCATAATGATATAAGAGTACATTCTTTATTTATTGGGACTTGTAAATTTTATTTCATGTCATACGGGGTAATTTGAAAAAATTAAATCATGTCAGAAACTTATCTTACAGATATGATTGATCATCGAAAGTACGATGCTACTTCAGACTTGTACTCTTGAAATAACTCTGAATAATAACTTTAAAGTATAATATGTGTGTGTAAGAGATAGATTTACTGGGTTTGTTTGGTTGGATATGATTTTGTTTGGTTCATCGTTCTTTTATTGTCATACATATTCTAAAACTATGTTTGGCACTATAGAGCTGCACAGAAAACCCGAAGCAACCCATTTTCACATAAATAGCATGGTCATGCCCCCATGTTTTTTTTTTGCTTACTGGAATGGGATCGGAGGTTGGATTCAGGCCTGAAAAAGCCAATATCATATGCCGAATTAAAAAAACATTGAGCAAGAAGTCCACCAACAAAATGGTTGGAATTTTGGACAAATATTGAGCAAGTTGAAAGATGGTATGAGAAATCGAATTTTTATTTTTGATGGATTTTGAATTTTTGCTAATTTAGGGGACTCAGACGATTGAGAAACGTAAACCAAAAACTTAATGTCTTGGACAATCTTTTTTTAAACCGAGTCATAAAAGTTGAGCCTACAACATGAAAACAAAATGTAACTAATACATGTATATTTTGGTGCCTAGTTAGGTTCAAACCACAGTCTTGTCGAGGAAGCTGACTATTTTTCAGACCAACTAGACCGTCAGACCGCTCAAACTACAAAAAATGGTCCGATTTAACTTGGTTCAACCGATTTAAACGGTTAACTAGACTTTTTATGTTTTTCAAAAAGTTGAATATGTTCACGAAAATTGATATAAATGAAATATACATTTGGTTTGGTTTGCAAGTTGAAAAGTATAGGGGGTAAAGTGGATGAAAGCAAAATATGTAGGGTCCGTATAGTAATTATTGAAAGATGAATCCCCTTTTCTCTTCGTAGAACATAAGCATCACGAAATTTCAAATCACACCAGTAATCCATTTTCTTTCTCTCGACCACATCGCCTTTCTGTGTCGCTGAATTCGCTCTAAACCCTAGTAAGTTTGCTGCAATGGCTGATTATTATTCGCTTTCAAATTATTACTAGATTGTCTGTTTCCAGTTGTTAAAGGAAGCTTATGTATGTTCGTGTTGATTTTTGCTGGATCTGTTTTTATGTCGTATGCTTTTATGGTTCTTGATGACTTTCAGTGGAAGTGTCTTCGCGCCATAGGCATAAATTTGTTAAATTCAAGCTTTGAAGCCATTGGTTTATGTTGAATTGATGATCTTTAGCTAGGGTTTTTTTGCCGATACATGCACTTTTGGATAACGATTAAGTTTCAAAACGCAATTTTTTTGTTTATGTAAATTGCTTTTGAGCAATTGGTGTTTGGTTGTTGAATGTGTTCTGGTTATAGCGGGGGGTTTCCTTTTTTTTTTTTTCCTGCTCTTATTCATTTCTGTCTTTAGAACCTAAACCCTGATTGATGAATGGTTGATATTAGAAAGGAAGTACTTGATTTTATTGATGCCAACCAAAATCCTATTGAATCTGTTACTAATTTACAATCTAGAGTTTTCGAAATTGAAGTTGGCCAAAAAGTCGAATATGTAGTAGGTTTGAACTTGAAAAACGATTTCCTATAGGCGGTGTAGTTTTTTTTTTTATCTCTAAAACTTGGATTTTATTTTTCTACTTTTCTGCTTCACTCCTAAGAACTTAAGGTTTTTTTAGCTATTGGTATATGTGGTTAGTTGGTTATTTGTTGTTGGAATTTATAGGAAATGGCAGAGGAAAACTTCGATCAACAAGAGACGGAAGTGATGCCTGAGAACTCTGTTCCTGTAGAAGTTCAGGTTTCCGAGAATGAACAAGGTGATGCGGTGGAAACTCAAATTACTGAGAAGGAACAAGACGGTACTTCTGCGGAAGTTGCTGCAGAAAAGAAATGGCCTGGATGGCCTGGGGAGAATGTTTTTAGGATGTTGGTCCCTGTGCAAAAGGTTGGTAGCATAATCGGTCGCAAGGGAGAGTACATAAAGAAAACTTGTGAAGAGACAAAGGCTCGCATTAAAATTCTTGATGGTCCTCCTGGTACTACTGAAAGAAGTGTAAGTCCCTCAACAAGTTTATTTAGTTTGAAATTGTTATTTGTTGCTGCATGTTTGGGGAGTTGCATTATGATGTAATTACGACCCTAGAGAGGTCATTATGGGCAAATGCAAAACATCATTCCATCTGTAGGAGTTGATTATGATGATCTTATATCTTTTCATCTCTCTCTCTCTCTCTCTCTCACTCACAGCTTGATTACTTATTCCTTGAAAAACAACACACGTTTTTCTATCTAATCTATATTTAACAATTCATGAATTGAATTGAGAATCACTATGCTAAATTCATTGATCATGAATTGTAAATGTGCTTCAGCTTTTTTCTAAAATAGTTTTTGTAGTGTGTAATTTTGTATGTGAAACAAATAAAGTAAGCATCCTAGTGATGTTCAAGCCAAAATATTCTTAAAATCACAAGAATGTTGACTTGCACATTATTCGTTCTTATGACTTTATCAAATATCAATAGAAGACCTTTCTATTCATGTGGCTACAAATGAATTTTTGGTCAATAAACTTTACAATCACAAACCAAAAATACCAACATAATTTGAAATAATTTGGTCAAAAGTATGTATAGTTCACACACTGATGAGGACAATTTGCCAATAGGAGATATGTCTATGCAGGATTCTTGTTCATTTATGGGATTCATGCTTCTTGCTTTATCAATTGAACCAAACTATACAGTTCTAATGGCAAAACCTACACTTTTGGTCTTCTGGTAACAGCAAAATGATCTCATTGTCAGTATATTGCTACTACTATGCCATAAAATGTATAAAGCTGTTTAGGGCGCTCTGGTAATGTGTGTGGAGGCAATGGAGTCATGTAGCTATTTAGAAGGTGAGTAATTAGATATGTATGATTTATCATGTTGTGATATCTGCAACGACATTATTCTGCCATTGGGATTAAAAGGAAATGGTCTTTGAAGTGTAGACCTCTCCATCAATATTAGGCTGTTACTCTAATTTTATGAATTGCACATAATGGCCAACATTTCTAACATGTTTGAAGGATGTGCAACTTATAAGAGCCAAAATTCTTTTTGGTTAAAGATTGCATCTAAAGAAATTGTTAATAGTGACATAGTGTAATAATTATAAGGTTTCGGATGTTAAGATACAATACTAAAACAAAGTTTGAAATATAATGCAATGGAAGTATATGAACAAGTGAAATTACTAAAACAACAACACTCAACCATCAGGTTAATGTATAAACAATTTTATTTTATCACAATAACTTAGATGAGTATGTGCAGGTTCTCTCAAATATAAGGCACCATTTCAATTGTCAAAGTGGTTTCAATTAGAAGAGCCAAAGATCCAGATTGCAATGATGGGCATTGAGCGTCACAAGTGCTGAAAAGTCACTCTTACTAAATGTTAGAAGTACCTTGGGCGGACGTCAGTACCAAGAAGCTCGTACGTTATCTGGTAAATTCAGAACCGGTCGGTTGATGTCTTGCCACACCTTGTTAACAAACAAGTGAAGAAGCTTAACAAATAGGGTGCTATCTACAACATAAATATGAATTAAGTATCAAACATGTTTCACTAATGAAGAAACGAGAACATCTTTAAGCTAATGCTGTTAATCTGGTTAAAATATCTTTGGTGTCTACTGTATCAGGTTAAATATCCAAGTATTTGAACTACCATTCATTATGTTTGGCCCTCAGAAATGGGCTTTAAGAGCAGAGTCTTAATTTTCAAGTAGATGCTGAAAGATTGGTGGCACTATGATAGTGTAGTGTCAAACAATGAGGTACTTAGAGCTACAAAATGGAGATAAAAAGGAGAAGTCTGTGATAGTGTATACGCTCCTGTACTATTTAAGATGGCACCACTTTCAAACCATCGGGTGTATTCACAATATATCCAGTACTTTGAACTTCTAAGAGTCACATATCGGGATTAATCATGGTGTCATATAAATCGAAGTTCTTAACAGTTTCTATTCTATTATTTCCTGCTGTCAGGAAAATTTTATGAACAAAATCATTGCGTTCCTAGAAAATTGAGCCGTTTACATGGAAAACTACTCATCTTTGCCTGTTCTTATATTTGTTTTATTCCTTGTGTGCTCATTAGAATCTTATTACACTTCTCATTTTTATTGCAACTGTTGTAATAAGGTCCCTCTTGATGATTCAGTTACTGTATTTGTTTTCATAAAGTAATGATATCTTAGTGGAATCTAATAATGTTTGTTATTTATGACATAGGGTGCATGGTTATTAGATCTGATTTCATGGTTCTATGAGACTGCTCAAATGATATTTATTGGTTAAATTTTTTGTTTTAAATCTATTGTACTAATTGGATATTTGCTCTTTAATTAGGTCTTGATCTCTGCAAAGGAAGAACCGGATGCTGCTATTTCTCCTGCAATGGATGGTTTGCTGAAGGTTCATCAACGAGTAATTGATGCTGATGCTGATCCTACTCATGCACAACCTAAAGGGGGTGTCACAATTTGCACGAGGCTGCTTGTGGCTGCTACGCAAGCTGGAAGCTTAATAGGGAAGCAGGGTGTCACTGTTAAGATCATTCAGGATTCTTCAAATTGTATAATTCGAGTACTTGGAGAAGGTTTGTTGGAAATATATATGCATTATTGACTTTGGGTGGGGGGTAGAAAGTACGCAGACCTTGAAACAAAAAGATTTCCCTAATCATGTTTTACATGATTCTATTTTTTCGCCGATTATCTATTTATGCTGGGTGTTGATCATACTTTTCTCTATCAAAATTTAAGACATTAAGGAAGTTGTGCTGAAGTTTGGTGGCATTTGATCTTTGGCTTTGTTGTATTGTTTTCTCATTGTTCAGCTGA